AGAAGAAAGGAAAACGTAAGCTCCACATTACTGCAGAAAAAAATCGGTTACAGCAAAGAAAGCAATGACCAACAGGACCAAAAGCGAATTCCCTTCACACTGTCGAATCGCTGCGAAGACGAACTTCTTGTTGTTGTTCCCAGCCCGTTTCGCGCATGCTCGCTACAGTTCTCGAATGATTGACAGATTTCTTAACTGGGGCGATCATGGAAAGCCGAAAAGCGGCAAGATCAAAGGCCGTTGCCAGCCCCCCCTGGAGTAGTCTGATGGGCACTTTTTAATTTTGAAAATGGGAAGAGGAAAAATGTACACTTAGTAATGTCAGATCCCATGGGAAACAGTTAGTTTTGTTTTCCTGAGTTCTGATAACGAAGACGAAGTCGTGGGAAACATCAGGACTCGAGGGAAAACAAAACTGATTGGTTTCCCGAAGGACCTGACATTAAATGTTTTGTTATATTTCTAGACTTTCACTTCAACGTACTTCAGTAGCAACAAAAGAATATGCTTAAGCGGAGCGCATCAAAACAGTCGACTCGGTACTTATAAGAACACAAATTTAATTCTGAAAACCACTAAATGAATGATTTACAGAGTACTTTCCTTATATTATCTGCATCTTTTTTATCCACAAGCTGCTGTTTCTCTTCTGCGATAACTTTGAAAATCGACGCTTTTTTATAGCTTGAGGCTTCATGTTTGTGTTGATGTTCATTCACGAAAAAGAAAACTGGCAGTTTTTTTCCCCGCCTTCTGTCACGCCACTTTCCACCATGCTTTGATCACGTGCTGTAAAGTATCCCGAGCGTGGTACATTGCTTCGGTATCACGACGGGATACATTTGATTTTAGTCAAGACCATGTGACCAAGAGTCAGCCAATGGCTGTCCCCGTTTGGTTGAGTGAAAGTCTAGGAATATAACAACATATTTTGCTCTCAAATCTGGTCAGAGGAAAATGCCGTCTACTTTGAAAACCGGTGGAAAAATAAAAGGTATTACATAGCCAAGTACTGACGAATGTTATCTTCTCATGTTGAAAGTATCTGAACACAAGAACTAAGATAAAATACGTATCTTTTAGTGGGCATGTAGGTCGGTAAAGAATATATCTTACCTTCTTAAAATGAGATGAATTAAATGATATATTTAGCTGTGAAAATGGATAGAGGATATACGGAATATTTTGTTTACAAATGGGTAGTGACTGAGAGACTTTTTAATTCTGAAAATGGGTGGAGGAATGACATATTTTGCTCGCTAAAGTCTGGTTAGAGAAAAACACCTTTTACTTTGAAAACCGATGGAGATATTACTTAGCCGTGACGAATGTTATCTTCTCCTGTTGATAATATTTAAACACAAGACCACAAAATACGTATCTATAAGTGGACATGTAATGTTCTGTTTACCATGTTTATCATGATAAACACAATTCTAGGGTAAAAAAGAAGCTTAACTAGCAGTTTTAATTCTTTCAAATCAGTTCAAATATGGTTAAAGAACATCACAAACAAATTAGCAGCGCATACACACAGTAAACGCCGTTTAGCCGAATGTATAGTCTTGAATTATTTAACAAAAATGACAATAATCAGATTTTACAATACATACAATGTATGAAGAGAGGTCAAATTTATTCTCAATGTGTTTTTGAGATGTGAAATAAAAGTTTGATGTTTTATCAACGCAATTCATCATAAGGGTTCTGAATGACAAACGTTCAGTTAACGCACATGCAGTAAACACTTGAATCAGTTATGACACAGAGAGGATCAAGATTCCCAACCAATATGTCCGATATAAATTGAATATTTTCGGTTAGGATGTACAGATATGCTTGGTACCCCACCTTTATTTTGTTCGTTGCTATGAAGATCACTGTTTTCGATGGCTCGTCGAAGCCATTCAGTAGTTGCGTGTTGGGGACTTTCAACTGAATGATTTTCGCAGGAGCTAAATTAATCTTGAAAACGTATGCAGTTTCCCGAAAACAAAGCTCGCAATCTATTTTCATTGAAGTAGCTGGGAGGTCCACAGCACGTGAAGTGGAAGAATTACAAGCGATATTCATCTTGGCAGGCGACGGAGAGGCCGTAGTTAAATCATTGTGCTTGTACTGTCTAATGGTTGAGGCGCGGCTTTGACGATTAGTTGTGGAGATAGAATGGCTTAACTGCTTTCCGTCCGTTTCTCTCTGAGCAAACTGTATGTATTCACCGATTAGAAGTATTTATATTCGGTTGTTTGAGCCATCTGATTGTATTGCACTGCTTTTAACTAACGTTTTGACTTGCAATACGGTTCCTTTTGCCTTGTGCTTCTCGTCGCTTTGGTCAATTCAGTCTTGCGTTATGTTGTTCAAAGAGTTTATATATCCCCATAACTTGAGCTTTGAACCAATCAGTGTCCCTTTCATATCGGCTTGAGATTGTGTTTTAAAGTTATTTACAGAAAAATAAGAAAAAGAGGAATCCGGGCCTGCATGCCGGGCATGATGGCCGCCGTTCCTTCCTGAGGCCTAGACGTTAATTGTAGCGGGTCATGATCAGAAGTTGAAGCAGCTTTGGCTTCTTACATTCTCGGCTTTAATGATGCTGTCGCTTATTTACAGGATCTTCTCCTGTTCTGGTGGTCGTTTTTGTTGGCGTTCAAAGTACCCAAGATATTATTTGCCGTAGATGTCTATTTTAAGAACAACGTCTTCCCCCGAAGTTCTATTTGTTCTTTACGTCCTCGCACAGGCCAAGCTCATGTGTTAAGCGAATATTCGAATATTCGAACAGCATTCAGCAAGCGGCAAACTTACTCCAAGTGACTGTTTGTCAAATTAGAAGTCGAGCCATCTCCTCGCCAGTAAAAGCTGCTGTTGTTCTTGGTCTGTTTCTATATCTGTGATGCTTGATTTCATTTTGTCTGGCTTTCACAATACGTCCAACTTGTGGTATTCTAAAACTTTTGTCCTGTATTAAGATGCAGTTGCCGCAACCGGCGCGAAGTGGCGTTCAATGCTTTTATCCCACGCGGAGATGATGGCTCGTCTGATCTAGCTATTTCTTGTCTTGATTCTTACGTCCAAAATAAAATGACTCAGGTAATCTTCGAGTTCATCAGTTGAGGGTAGTTGTCTCGATTTTTCTAATTGACTAACTCAAATTGTGCAAGCACGTGTTTTTCGTCTACGTATTCGCATTCTCCTCTCCTAGCCTGCAATTGACTTTTTAACATCATTTTTCAGCGACAGTTAGAAATCTTCCTCTTTATTCTGTAATTTCTCTTTTAGGGAAACCACTAAAATTAAAATTCGGTAATTTATCGGAAATGCCGCCCTCTAAGATTTTTTCTAACTTCAGCTATTTTAGTTAAAAAACAACGGCCACGCCGCGTGCACGAAGGGAAAGAACTATTGTGATTGGCTTATTTGACGGTTTCGATGGCTATCGGATAACTTCACATGTTTAAGATAAAAATGGCACGTGTTTTGGAGGGAAGTGAAGAAAACACGTTTTAGGAACGGCAGAAATTCTGGTGTTTCATCGTGATTTATAATAAAACATTAAAAATGCATTTCCTGACCATGGCTATAGAATCTACACATCAGTTTTGTTCTGCCCGGCCTAATGATGGAGAAAGGGCATATTTTTGTTTTTAAAGCCGTAAGTAGATTAAACGACACAACTGTTTTTCTTTTTGAAAATAATAGGGAGAACAAAATTTTGACAGGCTAAGTATTTCAAAGCACGGACCGCACATTTAACCAGATGATACCAGAATTGTATAAAGACTAATGGATAGGTTAAGCCAAAGTTAAAGCATCAGGGGCACTCAACAAGAATATAGTTCAAAACCACTTAAACATAGCATTGTTAAACGGTGGGTATTGGTATATTTTTATCCCGTAAAAATTCTTCACCTGTTCGGATTTCAAACTGAAAGTCTAGTGATCCGAAAATTATAGGGATCAAAACTTACCTTTTCGAAAATTTCAGCCAGAAAAAAGGCTCCCGAAAATTCTTGGTGACCTTTTTAGGGTAAAAATCCGTTAAAAATGGGTAATTATACCATTTTTTAGATGTTCGAAAATTCTAGGAGAGGCAGGCAAGCAAGAAATCTTACAAAAAATGTTCCGAAATTCTAGAACTCAAATCACGGTCTTCCCAACAGATGTTTTCAAAAAATTGACGTTGGTTGCCCCTGACCTTATAAAGCTTAAGCGAAAATTTGTTTAAAAACGCTTTATTTTAGCATCTTTTACGTATGCAAGCTTCATCTATTCATGGATTCGAAGACATTACAGTTATTAAGTATTTCAAACACTGGCTAAATAAGTCAATAAAGAAGTAAATAATTATATTTTAAAACAAAAATGCTGCTCTATTAAAATTGGACGACCAAACAGCATAATCTAAACGGATTAACAATTCAAAAGGCATTGTGCATATGCCAGTGAATACACGAATTTTATCACGTCTAAGGCGACCTCTGTACCTAGTAAAATACATCTTAGTGAACAGGCAAGAGCAGGTGAAAGTACGCTGAGTACTATTTTGTTTTGTTTTTTTCTGTTTAAAACACTCATAGCACGTGTTTTATTAAGTTTATTATTTGTATTTGTATTTAATATTTACTTCGTCCTATAGATAATACATTAGTTGTACAATATTAATTAGTACAAGGTTGTTTAAACTACGTGTACATAAGAAAAAAAGAAAAAAATTAGATGGAGAAGGGCACATTATAGTAAAACTAATTATGGCCCTTTAACAAGATTGACTTTATTCTATTATAGCTTTGTTATTCATTAAAACACAAACACGCACGCACGCACACACACACACGTACACAGACAAAAAAGGCAACAAATAACACTAGACTAGCCAGCTTCAAAAGACGCGGCCATCACCATCGCTGCCCGCTGACCGCCGTATTATTAATACGTTTTTGGTCGAATTTTTTAACTTGATAAGATATTGCCAAAACTGTCATTTTTTATTTCCTTAAACAGAATCAACAGAACACAACACGCCCAGGCAAAAACAGAAAACAAGTCGGATCAACAACACGCTGCATCTATGGGAATTTTTATTCGAGCTTCTTGAAGACGAGAGGTACACGGCGCTAATAGCATGGACAAGGAAAGACAAGGGCGAGTTCAAAATCAAAAGACAAGAAGACGTGGCTAGAAAATGGGGGAGGTTAAAGCAACGAACCAGCATGAACTACGATAAATTGAGTCGAGCGCTGAGATATTACTATCACAAAGGGATTATTAAAAAGGTGACTTACTTTCATGAATCTTTATCAGAAAACAATGTTCCTTAAAGTTCTTTTAACACCGAGAATTTCCCTTATCTAGAAGTCTTTTGATTTTTCTCAAGTTTACAACAAATGTTTTCCACCATTTATTCAAAAAAAAAACGAAAAACGCTCGATTGTCTTGCGTCTTCATTTGTAGTTAATCATATTGAATAATTACGTATTTAAATAATTCATTGCGATAGATTAGTAAACTCAAAACCCTGTTTTTGGACTTTTTATATTAGCTCTAATTAACCCTTTAAACCTAAGAACAAAATTTGAATTCTCATTTCTTACCCTACTCATTTCCTACAGTATAGTAGTGGGGAGAATTTGATAGAATATCAAGCAAATTCATCTTGTGTGATCATGTCCGTAATTCTCATGACCACTCTGTTTTACAAGGCATTGATATCTCAAGGAGAAATTTGATGCTGATCACTCTTAGGGCTTAAGGCGTTAAGTTCACGTAGGGCTGGAATAGTAGTGCCTAGATTCCTTGAGTCCTTGATAAGTGCCAATCGACTCTCAAGTGTGATGTCAAATGTCAGTTTGTTAGCTTTGCTTATTTCCCCCACAGACTATTTCAACGTTTGTATATTTTCAGGTTCCTGGCCAGAGATTTGTTTATAAGTTCGACAAGCTGCCTTATTCGTACAAACCAATTAGGTATAACTGGCCTTGGAACCCCCCCGGCGAAGATGACGACATCAAGCCAGATAGGCAAGTCCTTGACACGTCCCCTGCTACTAAGGCAGCAAGTTGGCTCCTTTTTCTGGAATGGAATGATCTGGAAAAGCACGTCAAACGAGAAAAGCTTGATATCGTCACATCCCCAGCTTACAAGAAAACGTTTTGTCCAATGACGCCTACATGGGAAGTTGCTGAGGCAGACGGGGATGTCAAACCTCTTAAACAGGTTCCATCACCACCTGTTCACTTTACAGAGAATACCCCCAAGGTGCCTTCACACGCATTGTTTCGAGAAAAACAAGATGACAAACCAGCTAGACAGAAAAAAATTCCCCCGCTGGTTTCCATAAAACCGCACTTACATACAATGCCAACGTGGAAGAATGCTAAAAGAGACCAAAGCTTCAAACCAGTTGCTAAACAGGGAAAAATACCACCTTTAATTCCAGTTAAAACCCATTCGCCGGCGTTACCTAGGAATAGGGTGCCCATTTCTCTGCAATGCCATCACAGAAATCGTGATTACGAATTTAGTCACTTCGGTTATCCTTCCCAGCATCCTTCGCAAGGGGTATGCCGCAGTCAGATTATTTTCCCGCCTTGCAGTTGTAGTTGCATGAGATCAATTGCGTGTGGTATGTACCTGGTTCCGGATGTGCCACCGCAAGTGCCAGCAAATGTTCTAATGAGATTTGCATAGCTAATAGGAGGGGATTCCAAAATGGCATTTGCTTGTTTGCCTACACTGTTAATTCAAAATACTTGTTTCACTCCTGATCTTTTGGCTTGTTTGAAATGAGTCCGGGCCTCTGGAAGAGGGATAATTAATTCACTCATTTCGTCTGCCTCATGATTTGAGCAATTTACAGGAACTTCCTCTAAATTCACCTGAAATATTTACATATCTTTTTCAGGAATTCCTCAAAAGTGAATGGGTAAAAATCATGTAAATAATCATTTACAGCACCTGTTCTGAAGATTTAGATGTTATTGAAAAGTTTTATTACATGTTTCTACATACTACGTAAATTTTAACCTTGCTAGTGAATTTGGTAGGAATGTTTACCCAAGTTTTACTTGGGGGGGGGGAATGGGGTCTGAATCTTTTGAATACAATGATAAGCATACTTCATATTTTACTTAACTATGCTAAAAGCAACCACCTACAAATCTATAGTAAAGCTCACTAGTTATATACTTTTGATTGTACTCATTCATGTTTATCACGTCATACACCGATTCTCAACTAAATTTTATGTATAGTTTACGTAAGTGTCAACAAATTTTTTCATCCGCCCCCCAAAACAAGTTTTATGTGATTTCTAGCTGATAAATCCTTTGAAAAAATTAGCCATTATTTTCAAAGGAAATATGGGGCTCAAAATCGTATTTTATTTAAAATACGTATCATCGAATCATGGCCGATTTGAAGAATTATAAAGCTTAATTAAGGAGAATAGAAACAATGGTAGAAACTTAAAAATCAGACTTCCATTTTTAGTAGACCGAAGACTTTCCCGATCCCATTTAAAAGGAGTTATGCCACAACCTTTGCTGTCTAAAACTCTTTTCGAATCAATTGGATTCCATAAAAAATGGCCCAGTTTTGTTCAGTTTGAGACTATATTTGTTTCCTGTTGTCTGTTGCAACGAATGGCAAGAATGAACATGGAATGATTTGTGCTTCCTGATGATGAAATTTGATTGACATCTTCTTCATAACCGGCTCTACAGAGCTTTTTGTGTATGGGAAAAGTATTGACTTCCGCACAGAATTGACCTAAAACAGCAATATCCTTGAGAGAAAGCCCCTTTAACGTTTAGTGTTGATTATTTTATTCGTGTCGACATGCAATCATTTCGAATATTTCTCTAAAAACTTAACGAATAAGCCCTGGTAGAATAGCGAAGATACGCTTTAAAATGTTCTGTAAATATCGCTTACATGCTATATTTAATTGCTGTCTTCCTTTAAAGACCAAAGGAGTGCAACAAAGTACTCAGTTGTATTGTAAATATACACTTATATGTAACCTGTTATTCAATATTAAAGTTTCTTTTAAAGCTTGATTTCCTGTATTCTTTCAAAAACTAGACAATGGGTAGAACTGGACTACTACGAAACGGTCTTTCGGATCAGGAATGTTAAGGTCTTTTCTTTAAACAAAAACTGAAAATTTCCCCCCGTGTGTAGTAGGGGGGTGGGCCACAAACGGAACTTACCAGACGCACCGGTCCCCCCGGGGGGGGGGGGCGTTACTTGGTATATTTTTTGCTGGGTATGTACCGCTGGCCTCTCAGAACCCCTAACCCATTATAGCCTATTCTGTGGCCATATTATAAACCCCACCTTAGTCACTTTTAGCAAAAAGTAAATTTTGTAATCCCAACTTAGTCACTTTCTGTTTATTTCCAGACCCCTACTAATAGCACCCATGTTTTTTAGGCACCCCCCCCTTCAATCATGTTAAAAGATTTAAGGACCCCCCTTTCTTACATAATACCCAAATGGTAATAACAAATGACATTTTCTTTACCTTACCGTTCTTACTCACTGTCACTTCGGAATGTGCCAACTAACAACAGAGAAGCACTTCACACTAAACTGAGAAATAAATTTCACCTAGAGCCTCTCAAACAGCTTATAGAGCAAAAATATAACAGTGATTGTGTTATAATTGAGATAAGACAAGCCATCGAAAGGTTAGAGGCCGGCAGGACCGCTTCAAGGAATAAAGAAGATAATCAGCCAAAGCTTACTGCTTTTTATATGAGCAGTACCTGCTCTAATACCAAAAAACTTGACGGTGACACAGACAGTGAGTCCACATCAACCTCATCTACAAATAATGATTCGGATAGTGAGATTGCATAACATGACTTTATGCATGTAATCATTTGTTAAAATGTCAATGAAATTGTTTCAGTGTTACACAATAATGAATGTTGTGTTGATGCACCTACTATTTGAGCATTAAATCTTTTTGTAAAAATGCTGATTAAATTGTTTTAGTATTACACAATATAGGACTTTGTGTAAAACTGAATCACAATCAGGTCCTTTAATACTCAAGCATCATGCTGCTCAGTAGGGATGCTACTTAAAAGAAACTTGAAGACCCCCCAAGGTCATCTTTTGGCATTTTAAGGCCCCCAATATTCTATCCAAAAATAACTGAAGGCCCCCCAATTTCTCCTCCACCGCCCCCCCCCCACTCCAACTTAAATTATGACTGGTCCCTAACTACAATAGGTCAGCATCCCGAAATGAACTAACACATTTGTTAAACTTAATAGGGTGTAAATTTTTCTATTTTTAAATGTCTATACTACACATACCTGAAGTTTGTGACCCCCAAAATCCTGAACATGTACGACTCCATTCTAGCAACTCTTATAAAAATGCAACCCCATATCGTGAAAATGCGACTTCATTCAGCGGCACATACCGATTAGCCTACAACCAGGAAATACCCTCCCCCCCTCCCCTTCCAGTGGTAACGGTGCGCGAAACAAACGGAACTCATCAGACGCACTGCAATAATCATTTTTATTATGTGATTTTTATCTTTGACGTGTGAGGATATTGGTGTCGCCATGGTTACTAAAATGATTAGCCAATTACAAGAGAGCTTCCCTCTCAGGCGCGCGGCCTGTTCTTTTGAAATTTCAATCACAAAATGACTTCGAGGTGCGAAGACGATAGTTACCGGTGACTTTCTCGATGAGTGGCCAAATTTTCACATCGATACTTTTTCCGAGCTTGAAGAACATTCAGGAAGATTTTCCGAAGTCTCGGAAAGTGACGTTGAAAAATTCATTGAGGGGGAAGAAAATGTAAACACTAAAAAAGAGACCTTCTAGGACTTAAAATTAGTCAAAAAGTTTCTGGTAGAAGAGCGCCAAGAAATCAGAGAAATAGAGAAGATTCCGTCAACTGAATTAGACAGCTACTTGAGCCAGTTTGTTTTAGCTGCAAGGACCAAGACTGGAAAAGATTTTGAACCGTC